TTTACAAAATTTAAAAGGTCACCTGTTCTAATCTGCTAGCTATAATAAGCTATGCTTATTATTATTATAGATTTCTATATAAAGGGACTGAAGTAACACATTAGAAAAATGCTAACATTGGCTAGATCTTCTCCTCCACGAAAAATATCATTTCTTACCTTCTTGGGAATGGTACTGTTTTGCAGGATTTGGTTGGGAGTGGTGGTGTCTGAATTAATAATAAATTATTCTATAGCATTGCTATTATTATTACTACTGGTATAATTTTTTTTTTACATTGTTCACTGACCACTATGCTATGTTGGTGGACTTTTATTATCTTACATGTTTGCCATGTAGTTATTTTTAGACATAGGTTGTCATTCATCTCCTGATGGTAACTTAATTACCTATTAAGTATTCTGTTTTGAAAAATGCAATAATAAATCTGAACACATGCTAGGAGATAGTAAAAGACTCAAGAAGAAGGAGAAAACTAGAAGGGGGAAAAAGAAGATAAGTAAATAGCAGACGGGGTTAGTGTTGAGGAAGGGTGCCATAGGAAAAGAATGCGGAGAAAGAGACTAAAGGAAAAGTGATGTCTTTCTGAGAGAGACAGAGAGAGAGAGAGAGAGAGAGAGAGAGAGAGAGAGAGAGAGAGAGAGAGAGAGAGAGAGAGAGAGAAGATACTAAGTATCAGTACCACTAGCTTTCAAATCCCTTGTGTTGCTTCTGGCGTCTGAAAACGTTAATGACATACTTTCGAGTGAGGACTAAAGTCTTCTCTGGCCTGCATTGCCACACAACATCAACTAAGTTATCTGGTGATTCCTACACTGTCCCCCTTCTGTCCCCTTAACTGAGATTGACAGTTGCGTGTTGTAGGCTTTTCCAGGCACGGCCTTTATTATGTTAATCAGCCCCTAGCATCACCTCCTTACAGGCTCACACACATCCAGAGCCTAAATCTCCCGGCCTGCCCTCCCCCTGTACCCTGGGGACCGGAAATAGGGGCGGCGGGGTGATAAAGAAGGAGAGAAAAAGAGGTCAGCTGATCAGACCCAGGGTAAGGGGGGTGGCAAGGAGTGAGGTGGGGAGACTCTGGGGAAGTGGGGAGGGGGATTGAATTCCCACACGTGGTGCCTTACATGTGATGCGATGCATTGGTCTAAGATCAAAATCATGGAAGGAACGAAAAGTACCCCGGGAGCGCGCAGAGTGAATTAGAAGCATCCATCAGGACCTGCTTTGCCTCAATAAATTAAAAGGATGATTTGGGTCCTGAAGTTTTCTGGCTCCTGTCAAATGATGGAGCGAGACAGGAGGGACTGTCTCTGAAGCAGAGAAAGGGTCAGTTGTCCTTTAATTAAAAAAAAAAAACTGAGAGTTCTTAGCTCACCTTGCCTTCTGGGCAGCAGCCAGGTAATCTATGAAGTTGCAGAAACTGAGAAGACAAGTTTGGGGTTGCCAAGGGGTGGTTCACTTCGTAACAGCTTTTGAAGGTGACACTTGTTTCAAAAAAGTGTCCCCTCCCTCCCCCTGCCCCTTCTAGGTCTGATTTACGAAGGGATCATAATCAGCTTTCATGCAGGGAAAAAGTTTGATGTGTGGTTCCTTGCCACCATCACCACCCAATGTAGCAGACTTCGGTGACACACCCCTCACTTCCAAATGGAAAGGAAGCTGCCTCTCCTGGTCAGTCCCAATCCGAGTTGCAAATAATCCTCTGGATTAGGGGTAAATTCCTATTCAAATATAGGCTTTTATAAACGTCTTCTTACAAAATACATAAATATGCTAAAATAACATAATGTGGTCATGTTCTAATAAAGACTGTAGTTTTGTATGACATTAAAGAGAAGAGAGGCTTCCTGGGGTGGAGTGGGGAGGGAAAGAAGAGGGTTTTGAAAGTTGAGTAAATTGACAGGAGGGGGGGAGTCTGGGGGAGACTGATCACAAAATCGTAACTGGTGAGGATTTGAAAAATAAAGTGTGTTCCTCTTACCACAACTGTGATGAACCCTTCCGGGGTCTGTTTTACCTAAGTAAATCCTACAGGATTATTTTTCCTCTACAAGGTCGATTGCAATATTATTTCAAATTTACATGTAGCTATGATCTTAATCCTCTTCCTCTGTTATAATCTGGAAGTATATTATTAATGTGTAGGGCATTTGTAGAAAGATCAATTCATCCTAAGGATTTGCTTTCCTGAATGGAGAGAGGACGCCCAAGCTAGGCAGCTCTATACTTTTTTTTCCCCTCTGTTCTGAATCTCCCGAAATCAGTTTGCTGCTTTGGTTCAAACTGTCTCTGCCTTGGGTCTTGAATCTAGGGAGTCCCCATTCAAATTAATATTCCATCTAATCTGATTTCACAGCATTTGTCATTATGGTATCTGTCTCTTCAAACACTGGCAGGGGCGTGCTCCAGGAGGGGGTGGAGAGAAAAGCTTTGGGGATGGGGGGGGGCGGCGAGTAGGGGATTTGAGCTTCTTACACCTCGCAAGGAAATTTAACGTGATGAAAACCTTAAACTTGAAGTGAGCCTGAAAGATTTTCCCCAAAGCATCTAGAGATTGGCACTACAGGACACTAGTGATCAAGTGCTCTGTGCTGCCTCATGTCACCTGAACAATTGCTGAGATCACAGTTATCAGATCATTAGCTGTTTTTCATGGAAATGGTTAAGTTTTTTTTAAGTCAGATATTAAGTAACCTGGCATTTAAGTACACAATAAAGTCTTGTATAAAGACTCTTTTTGTTTGCTATATGATGAGGTCCTTTGTCTTGATGTTATACAAGAGATGGAAATACATCCTAGAAAGGGGTCATACCTAGTTTGTGGTCTTTTGTCACCTCAGTGGTTCAGACAAGCTCAGAGAGTATCAAAGAAGCAGTAGAAAAGCAAACTTCGGGAGATGAGACCCAAAATTTTAGTGTTAAAAAAAAAGGAAAATAGATAAAGGAAGAAGGAGGAAAACATAAAGAGGAGTGATAACCAGTGGAGAAATGATGCAAGATATCTATTACATTTTAAAAAAATTTTACAAGTATAAAATAAAGAAAATTATCTGACCTTTGCCTTTAATATTTGGTTTCCTTTTGTGCATATGAAGATCTTATATTCTACCCTACTATAGAAGCTATCTGAAAGCCTGAAGATTCACTTGTCCAGTAATTCTCTATTTAATAAATATACACTGAAGTGACGTATAACAGAGACAAGTCAGTAACCAACTGTTAAATCTTCCTTACTCCAAAAAAATATATACATACACACACATATATATATATTTATTTACACACACACACACACACACACACACACATATCAAATCCAACTGTTGCAATTCAGGGTGACAAGTTCAGTCTGTTTAAAATGTAGAAAATACAAATAAATGCACTTTGGAAGATGTGAGTATATTGCAATGCATATATTTGCTTTTTTCTCCTTTTGTGAGAAAGGTGTTTTCATGTGAAGAATAGTTTTGAGTGAGATTACTAGTGAGTATTGCTAGCATTCAAATTCTTGCTTTAGGCACATATTCAAAGTGTAGTTCAAAGCAGTTTATCTCAACTTAATGTAAGTAAAAGTATAGTGCCAGATCAATGTATCATTTGTTTCAGTTTTCATCAGACTAAAAAAATGCAGTAATAGATTTAACTCTATAAAAGCAGAGACAGTCATCCAAACCTGTAGCCACCTCTATATTTATCTTTAGATAGAATAATACAAATTCGTAGAATTGGACGTTTATTTATGCACTGAGATTATTTAAAGCACTTTCACTGCAAGAAATTCAGTTGGTTCTCTAAGGAATTGAGCCTGAACTGATCGAGGCTAAGAGATTTTTTCCATCCAGATTAATGTCTGTGCTCAGCATCCACAAATTTGGCTGCCTTTATTTACTTCTATATTAGTTCCAATTATGTGCAGTGTAAACCAGCTTTTTGATTAACAAAACAGCAGAGCATTGGTTAAGAACACTTAAACTTCAAAAAATCCCCCTGGGAAGTGGGCTCTGAATTGGTTAATAATGTGCAGTACTTGCTAAATTGCTGACTTCCAGATGTGGAAAATATCTTTCTTGTTTAGGACCTACGTAACCTGATTGGATTACGACAGAAGCGTCACATTGGAAGCTTTTGAGTGATGATTTAATTAACCATACAGTAGAAAGCTGTATTCTCCAGGAAATCCCTTACATATTTACATAACCAATCCCTTCAGTGCAAAGGTGGAGCCTTTTTTTATTTTATTTTAATTGCAATATCAAAAAAAAACCCTTGAACAACTTAGACCTCATGCAGTTTAATATCATTCTCTTCTTTCCTTAGTAAGTTCCTCTTTCTCCTTCCTTCCCCCTGCTTCCTCCTCCCTCACCACACACACACACACACACACACACACACGCACACTTTGTGGTGATGTGTGTATGTGTGTGTGTGTGTGTGTGTGTGCACATATACATATATACGTATATATGGGTTGGAGAAAAGTCCAGAGATCATCCCACCCCATACTCTCTATTAGTGATCCAATTCCAAAGAATTTCGTCCAACACACTTTTTGTCCAATGTAACCCTGCACACGTTGGGACAAAAACCAGGAATCCCGATCTACATGCCCTAGGATGCAGTTCACATGCAGCATTTAGTTTCTTCATATAATTTTATTATATGGTTTTGGCGTCTGAAAAGAAAAGAAAATCTTAGAGAAAGGGGCAAAGACTTTAGTGCTGGGAGCCGTGCTGAGAAATCCACACAAGTTAATGTGCATCTGAAATCTGGCCATTAGAGATATCTTTGTAAGAAGAAGAGATCTTGATTGAAGACACAGGATCTTTGCCTTTAACTTTCGGTTCCTTTGAGTGCTCCAGTTCTGTGAATGGTGTTCACCGTTTTCCGCCTTGTATCCAGTAGGATTTAGTGAAGAGGATAATGATGCCAAAGACTTGATGGTTAGGGAGGGGGGAGGAGGGGGGAGAGGAGGGGGAGGGAGACAGAGAGGGAGGGAGGGAGGGAGGGATAGAGAAAGAGGGAGGGAGGGAGGGAGGAAGGGAGGGAGGTGGAATTTCATTTCTTCCACTAAAGCGTTTGCGGAGACTTCAAGGTATAATCTATCCCAGATCCTTTCCCAGAGAGAAACTTGGCGATCACGTTTTCACATGATGCTCACGTTTAGTGCTCTTCAATTATCCCTCCCCACAAAGATAGGTGGCGCGTGTTTCAGGGTCTCGCCTCTCTTCTCTACAGAAAAGAAAAAGAAAAAAATGTCATTAGAAGAGGCGTAACACGTCAGTCCGTCCCCAGGTTTGTGTTTCCTGGAGTGGCAGAAAGAGATCAGTCCTAACCTGCCCAGCAGGAATAACGGTCCTTCCGACAACTCTTTGCAAGGCTTTTTACAATTTTCTCCAGGAGCTGCTTCTCTTCCACCTTTTCTCCCCCACACTTCGCGGCTTCTTCATGCTTTTTCTTCTCACAATTTCTGGCCAAAACTACAAACAAGACTTCGCAGGTAGGTTCTTCTTTTTCTTTACCTTATTTTTTTTCTTTTGGCATTGTATTTTTTCCCTCTTTTTCTCCCGTGGTCCTTTTGGATGGGAGTTGATTCTGAAGTAAAACATGAAGTGTGAGGGCAAGAATTTCAGGTGGGCTTAGTTCTTTTATGGAAAGGTTTCCCCTGGAGTGATCTCTCCTCTCCTCTCCCCTCTCCTTTCCTCTTCTCTCTTCCTTCCCTCTCTCTCTCTCTCTCTCTCTCTCTCTCTCTCTCTCTCTCTCTCTC